GAGTGTCCCCCATCCAGTGAGTGTCCCCCCACAGTGAGTGTCCCCCAGTCCAGTGAGTGTCCCCAGCCCCATGTGTGTTTGTGGGACATGTGGGACCCATGTGTGTTTGTGGGACATGTGGGACACCCTGAACCCAGCCCTGGGTCAGTGTCCATCTTTGTCCATCTCAGGGAGCCGCTGTGGGGCTGCTGGCCGGACTGGCCATGGCATTCTGGGTGGGCATCGGGAGCTTCCTGCAGGGCACAGCAGCGGCCAAGGGCGTCTCCCCAGCCAACAGCACCGTGGGCAACCTCACCACCATCCTGGCCACCACCCCGCTGCCCCCCACAGCGGCACCSCCAAGGTGAATGGCACGGGGGGCTGGGGGATGGGGTGTGCAGGGTGTGGGGGTGCTGCTCCACGCACCCCCTGACCCCGTGTCCCCCAGCCCCACGGGGCTGCAGCGCTTCTACAGCCTGTCCTACATGTGGTACAGCGCCCACAACTCCACCACCGTCATCCTGGTGGGGGTCCTGGTCAGCCTGCTCACCGGTGAGTGTGGGGCGGTGTGGGGACCACCGTGATCCCCCCGCCCCACTGACAGCCCCCCACCCCCAGGCCCCACCCCAGCATCGGCCCTGGACCCCCGCACCATCTCTCCTGTGCTGCCCTGGCTGCTGTGCTGCCTGCCCCCCAAAATCCGGCCCCGCTTCTGCTGCGGGGGAGGTGACCCCGCCCAGGTGAGGGACAGTGCCAGCAGGGTGTGGGGAGGGGCTCCCGGGGGTCACAGCCCCATGTCCCCCGTGTCCCTGCTCTGTCCCCACAGGTCCCCGGCCACGCGGATCCCACAGAGAAGAGCAATGGGGTTCCCAATGGCCTGGCCCCCGCCGGCCCCGACTGGCAGGGGGAGGAGGAGGAGGGTCAGGGGTACATCCGCAGTGCCGGCACCCCCTCCTACACCGTGCAGGAAACCTCCTTCTGATGTCCCCAGCGTGGGGGTCTCAGCCACCCCCCCTGGCCGGGGGGCTCAGATCCTGGAGGGGCACCCGCAGACAGCACCGAGTAACGGGTTCTGTGGGGACACTGATGTGCTGTGCCCCATCGGGGGGCTCTGGGACCATGGCTGGGGGATGCTGGAGCGGTGCCCCCTCCCCAGGCCGGGATGTTGTCTGGTACCCCCGGTCCAGCCACGTGCCTTACGCACCGCTCCAGGGCTGGGGGCTGCCCGGACCCCTCGGGACACCCCCTGCCACCCCCGTCACCCGTCTGTGTTTGGTGTCCCCCCAATAAATGGTTCTGGAGCACAGGTGTCACAGGGTGCCAAGGAACAGCCCCGCTGTACCCCGGGACCCCCACTCCCCAGCAGCGGGCTGTCCCTGCTGTCCCTTGAGAGGCCACAGACCCCCCTTTTCTCAGTTAATAAGTGGGGTGTCCCTGCTGTCCCCTGAGAGGCCACAGACCCCCCTTTTCCCAGTTAACGAGTGGGGTGTCCCTGCTGTCCCCTGAGAGGCCACAGACCCCCCTTTTCCCAGTCACGAGTGGGGTGTCCCTGCTGTCCCCTGAGATGCCACAGACCCCCCTTTTCCCAGTTAATAAGTGGGGTGTCCCTGCTGTCCCTTGAGAGGCCACAGACCCCCCTTTTCCCAGTCACGAGTGGGGTGTCCCTGCTGTCCCCTGAGAGGCCACAGACCTCCCTTTTCCCAGTGAATGAGTGGGGTGTCCCTGCTGTCCC